AAATGTGCGATTTTTGGAAATTTGGAAACTCGGAAACGTGAAGATTGAGAAACACGAAAAATTGCAGAATTTAAAGATCCAAACAAATACGATATTTAGCAATATCATCCGCATTATTTTTTCCACCAGCAAGAAACTAATCCTCTCTCCCTTGAATCTCTCCAGAGTTTTCACAGAATCAGCCTGAATGAATTCGTAAAGAAGAAAGTATCCTTAAACTGCGAAAGAAAATTGTATCAACAATTACACGAAATCGTGTGTGTGTGTGGGAAGGAAGCATTTACTTAAATAAAATAATGCAGGATTGTTCTCAGAACCGGTTAAGTGGTCTTGATCGGTTCCCTACCGAAGGAAAAAGAAAGTATCGTATATAACTATGGTTTAACCATTAACAGAGTTCATAGAAGGAGTGTATCATAAAAGAGGAATAAAAATAGAAGAACTTCCTGGGCGAACCCCTTCGCAGAATGTATAAATAGTTGGCATGGCCGCCTACGTTGTTCTATGATATTTCATGCAAATTCGTCCTCTTCCTTGAAAGATATTTCGTTGTTCGGCGAATAATTTCCTGCAGCTGGGAATTATTAGCATGGTAAAGAGGATTACAAGGCAATCGTAAGCTTCACGACCCTCGTTTCTTTGGTTCCGTGTCATTTGTTATCCAGAGATTGCGAACGAATTAACTAGGAAGTATTTTACAATGATATCTATCGATGAATTGTGATGCTCTTTGGAAATTTGGAGAGAATGTAACAAATATGAGTGTAGAGCGAGAAATATTCATTCGTCAGCGTGTAATTTAACTTTCGTAGGATTTTCGGATTGCGACAATTTTATTTACTTTAATTGTTGAATTCTTCAACGGAGATTAAAAAGCGCGAAAAATGTAAAAATCATTGCAAAAGAATAAAAAAATCATTATCGTCCATATTGCAAAAGTTTTCAAGCAAGATTTCATCGTAATGCAAACTCGAGGATTTCATTATTCGCGCGACGAATAATGTCGAATTTCACTTCAATGCAGAGATCTCGATCATCGATTCACGACGAAACGCGCTTCTTTCGAGATGCCTTATACCTTATAGAATTATTTTCCAAAGCAGATCACGCAAAAGAGAATAGAGAGAGAGAGAATATTAAAGTTATTAGAATTTCATTAGCCATTTCTACTCCGAAGGTCAACTCAATATCGCCATTCTTCGTGAAATATTATTTCAAATTAGCATACCAAAACTTTCATTTTCATCCAGTTCGTGCTCTTCAGATTGGCCGATATCGATTTTCTCGAGAGATTACGCGGAGGCAAAGTGCAATAGCTATTTAAATTTTTCATCGAAGCTTCATTCTCAGTGGGGACAAGGTTTAGATTTAATCTCAGAATTGATGTCTGATGAAAATCTAATTAATTTAATTTAAACTTATTTCAAATATTCGAACAATTTGATGGAACGAGCTTGAAGAGATTAAGTGAAGAATATTCCAAGACGATTCTCAGTTCGCGGCTGAAAGTCAGAATCGTAATTTTGTTTTACACATTATCCAAACATTGTACGCAAACACATTTTATATTTCATATGTCAACCCCCTTTTTCCAAACAGCAGACATTTATCCACGAAATTTCATCGCAACTTTCCACGTTAAGACCGTCACATTGTGCCAAAATTGAAAGAAAGAAAAAACAACATTGACGCAAATAAATTTTTAAGGATATTACCAATACGAATGAATTTATAAAAACTAATAACTTTCAACAAGTTTTTCGAATTACTATTTCTTTCATCAGTTACAACAAATATCCCAATTCTAATGACCATATTAAGCGTCAACTTCGACAGTCTCGAAATAACTTTTGTTTTCTACGTTGCTCAGTTTTGAAATTTTTCACTTCTGTTATTAATCTCTGTCGAAATAAAATTAAATTTCTACACGAAGTAAATGAAATAATTTAAACATGATGGAAATTGCTATAGTCGTCCGTGACCTCGCGATGTCACCCAAGGGTTAAGGCCATCTTTTCATTTGAAAATTATAGTAAAAATAAGAAGCGAACATAATGTTATTACTATAAACAAAATCTTCAAATAACTTTCTCAAGCACAATCATCTGAGTTACTATTTCTTTCGCCAAGTCTAAACAAATATTCCACTTGGGAATTTCAATTACAATTCCAATATCCCACTTAGCAGCGTAATCCTTCAATCGAATGGAAGAATCAGTTCTTTCGATTCGAAAAGGGCAAGTGATATCAGACGCTGATCCACCATGGGGCATTCATTAATCCGCCAAGGGATAATTCCAACCCTTATCTGGAATGGACACAGATTATACGGTCTGAGGTGAACACGCAATCATAATTTCTCCCTTCATTTTCTTTCTTCGTCAATAACCACCAGGATTAAGCTAATCTAACCGTTCTATCTTTCAATTGAAAAGAGAAACAATAAAATTTCCTCTTAACATAAGTGGAATCATTAATTGATGAAGACGATTTATACTTTTATGGGAATAAGGGAATTATTAATAAATGCCTATCTTCAATTAAAAGGCATGCGAAATGAAATAAGAAAATCGCATGCACGGTTGAAACACACTCTACGAGTATTTTTTTTTTTTTTTTTGAAATATTCTCAGTCGAATGTAAAGTTGAGATTACTTAGTTCGAGATAATTTCTACTGCCCTCGTATTTAATAAGTTAAATTTTACTCGTGATATTTTGTAACTTACGCAGATCACATCGACGTGATTGATACTCACGTGGAATTTGAACAATTTCAAACTTGACTGATCGAGTTAAGTTAATTTACCACGTCACATCGTTGTAACAAGTAGAGATAAGATCAACGTAAAGGGGATGTGTGTGTTCGTTTCCGATATATCAGTGTATCTGATTTCCTATCTGTCTTCGCGTCTGAATTCGCGTAAAAAGAATTCTTCTGCCTTAAAATCAATCAATCTACATCGATGACAAGTGCACTGGGTGTGCCGCGCGTTACAAAACTTCCGGGCGAAGCCATCGAAACTAATTAAACGCACGTTCGATTAAACCGTCCAAGGTCGCCAGCCAGATCGACGTTGATTTCATTTTCTTTTTCAATCGACGATCCTTGCGTAACGCGCACATCCATACGATACCGTAATTGTCACGATAAACAACGTTGCATACGGGACGCGTATTATTTATATATTTAATATATTTAATGCGAAGTATTCTAGTTAAAAAAAAA